TACCATCGAAGAAGCGATACAGCGGGCAAAGCAGGTGAGATTTATACATTCGAAAGGGGGATTCGAGATAAGAAACTGGGTATCCAATTCGGAGGAAGTCCTAGTCAGTCTTGGGGAACCGAAACCCGTCCAGACGATTCATTTCAACCAGGACAAAGAGACTGGAAATGAACGCGTACTCGGTATAATTTGGAATCCAGGTCAAGACGTTTTCTCCTTCTCGACTGAACACCGCGAAGATCTACAAGAGTACCTGCAGGGTCATAAGACACCAACGAAGCGCATTGTACTGAGTTGTGTCATGGGGTTCTTCGATCCGTTGGGACTACTCTCATGCTTCACCGTACATGGAAAGATCTTGGTTCAGGACTTATGGCGAACGGGCTGCGAGTGGGATGAAGAAGTCGACGATGCATGCTTGGTCAAGTGGAAGCAATGGACGGATCTCTTGCCGTTAGTGGAGAGGGTTCGCATTCCGCGCTCATATTTTGGACAGACGCGGTCATCCGAAATTAATAGGCTTGAGCTGCACATCTTCACGGACGCTAGTATACAGGCATATGGCTGCGTGGCCTACTTTCGTGCAATGGTAGACGGTGAAATTAAATGCCTGTTGGTGATGTCTCGATCAAAAGTAGCCCCTCTTAAGTTACAATCCATTCCGCGGTTGGAACTGATGGGAGCTGTCCTCGGTGCAAGAATGTTACAAACGATCAAATCCAACCATTCGCTTTCCATAAACCGTTGTTTTCTTTGGACAGATTCGCAAACAGTTATGAGTTGGTTGCGTTCGGATCAACGAAAATACAAGCAGTTCGTTGCATTCAGGGTTGGAGAAATTTTGGAGACAACCAGCTCAACGGATTGGCGATGGATTAGATCTCGGATGAACCTGGCTGATGCACTAACGAAGTGGGGACAAGGTCCTCCATTGGATTCAGAAGGAGAGTGGTTTAATGGTCCAAATTTCCTGCACCAACCAGAAGATTGCTGGCCGACCGAGGGGTTGCCGGATGCAAACACTGAGCAGGAAATGAAAGCATACTTGCTGCACCATGAAGTGAAGGAGTTTCCAGAACCCGTGATCGATGCAGAAGTGACATGGCGCTGGCGTAAGTTGTTGCGAATCACAGCTTGCGTAATCAGATTCATTACAAATCTTCGACGCAAGGTAAAGGGCTTTCCGTTACGAACGATGGTGGCGAACGAGAGGCAACAACAGCTACTTAAGGCGGAATACAATGTTGTACAGCGACCACTGCAGCAGGACGAATTTTCGAGAGCGGAAGTGATTTTGTGGAGGCAGGCGCAGTTGGAGGCGTTCCCAGATGAAGTAATGGTACTCCTGGGAAATGGATCACTCAAAGCGAATCAGAAGCCAGAGCAGATCGGGAAGAGGAGCCCATTATACAAACTCACCCTCACACTTTAGAAAAGATTCATGATCGTTAGAAAAAATTGTGGAAACTTTAGGAAGTCCGAAAAAGTTTAGAGAAGTTAAAAAAATGAAGAGAAGTATTGCGAGCATCAGGTTAGTTTCTCAAACCACAAAAGAACTTCAAGGCAGTTTAATTAAATTCAGGAATATTTTGGGAACTTTCAAGTAGTTATGAAGACCTCAGAATAGTCCATTCCATATTCAACGGAGATTTCTCATGAAAATTCGCTTGGAGTTTACTATCTTATGCTTAGGCTTCACATGAAGTCTAAAATTCCTCCGAAGTACCATGAAAGCATATTGCATTTGATGTCTTTCTCATAGAATTTTTTCCCAGAACTCCCGAGGAATGAGGTCCATAGAAATTATAATAAAATACCATGAGCCTTAAAACTGTACAGGGAATTTGGCTCCAGATTCTTTAAAATTAATCCATTCTGGATCTATAAAGTTCAATGTGTGAAAAAAAAATAAAAAAAATTAAATGTTTTTATTTTAAAATTCCCTGATACTTCCAGGTATTTTCAGGAAAAATAAAATTCCCTGCGAGTTCCCGGTTTTTCAACTTTTTTCAAGTAGTAGGAGTTTGTAGGTTTAGTCATAAACTTTCTATTTGATTTTTTTGCTTTAAAGGTTTCTATCTTACATATTTAAAATCTAATTGAATAAGTCTAAAACATCAAACATTTATTTGGTATGCCATCAGAACGACTAATTTTCTTCCCTTTGGCCACTTATTTCTTCAAGATAGTCATCACTATTTTTGACAGCATAGAATAAATCAACGGCAGCAGACCAACGGAACATTGTGAGACCGGGCCAATTATTCTTGGAAGTGTGCATGTAATACCAATATCCATTTGATAACGGTGATGCATACATGAAACACAAATGAATATTCATGGGCACTCAATCTTTACCAATTCTGTTTTTCAATACCTTGGTCTCTACTTTCTCTTATCCTTCACCTATGCATCTAAGCTTCATTGTAAGGATCAACTTAGCCCTTATTTAATATTCGGCTGATTTCAATCGACTCGCATAAGTCATTATCTAAAAGCCATTTCATCTTTATCTATTTGATTGCTGCATGAAGAGCACTCAATCAATGCAACTATGGCTACCATTTGAAAAGTGGAGGAAGAAGCACAAATGTTACCCACACCTTCTACATGGATGATTTGAAGCTGTTTGCGGAAACAATGGAGAAGCTGCACCGTCTCTTGCAGCTTGTAACGGTGTTCTGTAATAACATTCGGATGGAGTTTGGTGTCGATAAATGTCGAACAGTCAATATCCGTCGGGGTCAAGTTGTGTCTACTAGCAGTTTCCGCATCAACGAACAGGAGGAGATTCGGAATATGGTTGAACGCGAAACCTATAAGTACCTGGGGTTCCTGCAACTGAAAGGGATTCGCCATACAACGATCAAGAAGGAGCTGTAGGAAAATTTCTTGTATCGAATCAATCGTGTTCTGAGGTCGTTCCTGTCGGCCGGCAACAAGATAAAGGCGATGAACACGTTTGCCGTGCCCCTGTTGACCTACAGCTTTGGGGTGATCAAGTGGACCAAAACAGACTTGGAGGCGATAGAACGAGCAGTATGAGTGGCGTTCACTAAGCATCGCATGCATCACCCAAAGTCGGTCGTCGAGCGAGTCACCTTGTAATGAAGGAGGAAGCACTGATATCCAAGCGCTATGTGTTTACCAGATTCAGCAGTTGCGAAGCTACTTCGTAGAGAGCCAGAACCGTCACGAAGTCTACCGTGCTGTTTGTGAGGCAGACCACGGGTTCAGCGCCCTGCATCTGGCGCAGGAAGACTACCAGTTGAATTGCGACCTAAAAACTGTCGAAGATAAAGTCGCATCGTGGAAGCTGAAGGAGCTGCATGGGACGCATTCCCCATCAGTTGGAACAAGCGCATGTCGACAAAGTGGCGCCGAATACGTGGCTGGTGCGAGGTGAACTCTTCTCAGAGACCGAAGGTTTTATGGTAGCCATCCAGGATCGGGTTATTGCGACGAAGAACTACCGTAGGTACATATTGCACGAAGAAGTAGAAGACCAGTGTAGAAAGTGCAATGCAGTAGGGGAGACGATCGAACATGTTGTTGCTGGTTGCCAAGCGTTGGCAGAAGTATCTCGGTCGTCACAACGATGTCGCTAAGATTGTGCACCAACAACTTGCACTGAAGCACAACTTGGTGAACCAGTGCGTACCCTACTACAAGTTCCTGCCAGACCCGGTACTGGAAAATAGTTGCATAAAGCTGTACTGGGATCGCGAGATCATTACGGATGTCCACATTCGTGCCAATCGCCCTGACATTGTGGATTACGACAAAAGGATGAAGCGGGTAACCCTCATCGATATCGCTGTACCGTTAAATTGCAATGTTCAGTCAACGTTCTCGACCAAGATATTGAAGTACCACGATTTGGCGGAGGAGTTGAAGCAGATGTGGCACCCGGAGGATGTGCGTATAGTTCCGGTAGTAATCATGGCGACCGGAATTGTTCCCCGTACCCTTGAAGAGTTGGAACTACCAAGAGAACTGAACAGCATTCAGAAAGCAGTGATTCTTGGAACCTGTAGTATTGTCCGGCGGTTTCTGAATCATTATAACTGATCCGACTGAAGCAAACAAATCGTTCTATAGTCCTATCGTCCTATAGAACTGAAGAATGAGATCCACAGAGCCTAACCCCCTTGGCATAAAGACAGCCCGGGGTAGGTGAAATTTTCCAGCATTTTTGCTGAGAAGTGCCAAAACTCTATAATAATAATAATAATAATAATAATTAACATATTAACAATTGTTTTGTTCCAATAACAAACTGTGCTTATACTTTCTGGGACACCCTATACCATCACGATTTACCAATCTCTGTGATGGTAAAATCAACTAACAACTTCTTCTAATTTTCACCACTCTCGATCATTGTTAACATGTAAATATCAATTTTATTTAATTTCTATATTATTCTGTCATTACTGTTCAACTAATTCATTTAGGAATATTCAATTGCCCTGCATTGGGTTATTATTTTGCATGCAATGATATGGGAAAAGGGAAGACTCACGATTCAGCATGGAGAGTGTATGGGAGCCGTTCTAGGGGTTGTTTGGGGCATGTGATTAATTTTATATATTATAGTTTGACATGATCACCATGTTTCACTCACGTTCTGGAATGTGGCCTTGAGACGAGATTTGGCCTTCTTAATTCCCCGTTCTGTTTCGCAAAATCAAATTACCTAACCCACCCAAAAGTTCTTTGCATCACATGTTGATCTTATCGCTTTTCTTTCTGTGGGTAGGGGAAGGAAGGGTATAGTGAACAGATGGGGCATAGTGAGCTTCCTGTGCTATATCCTTGAATTTCTTATGGTTCGAAACAAATTAATTAGTCAATAATCATTACAATGGTGATATTGAAACTGCAATCAATTAATTTGTTTAGAACAATAAGAGGTTTAGGACTGAAGTGCGGGATGCTCATTATGCCCCTCTTGTCCCTATTATGGTTTTCGGAGGCAAATAACAACACTACTCGTGTTTTCTTACAATCCAAAAAAGACGAATGTATATTTCTAGCCTTTTCTTCTTGATCTCTTTACACGTTGCGTTTCGTATATTACTACTATTTTGTTTACTTCAATTGGGAATTTTATGCTGCATTTTCCACAAGCACCCGAAAGGGGCAGACACCCTTCCGGTGCTGGTGGAAATTCCATAGGGGGTTGTTTTATTGAGCTGAGTATTTCAGTTTTTACACTAAACAATGTAATGGCTATTGTATGATAATCGCGGATCCTTTGTAAGTCAATATTTATATGTATGTATGAGGTCTGACAACCCGGATGCTGTTCTGTTGTACTTTATTGAATTAATAAAAATCATACACTGTCATTTAAATATACGAATGTTTGTGTGTTTCCGGAAATACCTACAGCTCCATGAAGAACCATGGGCACCTGTTTGATTTAAAAACTATTGCCTTACCGCGTCTACCAATCAGAGGGGACAAATCTTAGGAGTTGCCTTACTTAAAATGATCACTAAATTGTCATGGAACTAATGAAAAATGCGTGAAATAGTACATAATAATTACAAGTTACATTCATAAGTATAAATTACAACAATATGCACTACAAACTAAACTGACGATTTTCGCGTGCTCCTTTGCTTAGTTCATCCACTTTGTTTATTCCTTTCCTTACATAGAGAGAGAGAGAGATTTTGTTTTCATGCCAATCGAGGAAGCCCTCTGTTTTGGAGAATCCCTTCGACTGCCGTTCCTCATTCCACTTTCATATTATTTTGTTTTACTATAAATTAATGAGATTTGTTTAATATATTACGATTTCCATTACGTCTCATAATGTTAGTATTTAAAAGCTATAACTTTTTACAGCCATTTCATTAGATTAGCTTTCAATGCGTCGCAACTGTTCCATTCTGGGGACTAACTATCATCAAAACATGCTGTTAGGGGGATAATTGTAGGATGCTTGCTAGCGTAATTAGATGAATTTCGTTTAACTTTTGTAGAAAATGTTCAAATGTTGTTTTCAAAAATTTGTTCTAAATATGTACGAGTAAAGGGCATATGAATTGTGAAATCTACTCGTGTCTATTTTTGGTCAGTATGTTGTTCTGAAACGAACCATGATTTAGTGATAGGATAATATTTCGCTAATACTGAAGATAGAGGAGAAGGAGAGTGTCGCCCCGAAAAAAAGGGCGAATGTAAAAATCTGTTCGTATCAAAATTACTACCATTCGTTACTAGGAAGCAGCAAAAACCGGTCCAATATTTGACCGGGATTGTTTATATGAAATGGTCCCGCTCTAGTATGCAATTTAAAAAAAAAAAATGAAAAGCGGGAATCAGAGAGCGCTACATTAAATAACTGGTTCTGCTTAGCGTTACGTCAATATCGAACAACACTATCCTATTTTCACACTTTAGTCTAACCGCGCGTAACGCGGAACGACGTCGTTCTTGATCCAAAAATCGCAATTGTCACTGTTGTAAGTGGGCAGTGCATCTTGGCCAATGTCGAGCAGTTTCCGCCGGAGTTCGGCTTTGATCTCTCCGTGCGAGACGTAATGGTAGAACAGCTGCTGGATGGCGGAGACGTATCGTCTCTGTTCGGGGGTTTTCGGTTCATAGCGACCAAGAATGGCCTGAATGTCCGAGTCGACGTTGGCAATGCCAGGCTCGCTACCGGGTTGCGTTACGACATAAAATTGAGAGGTCAGGAGGTTCTTGGAGATTGTCATCAGCGGGCAGACCGTTCGGATGTCCGAGATCATGGCAACAAGTCCCTGGTAGGTGGCGTTGTATCGCTTGAGAGCTTCCTCGGTGAGACCGAGCTCTCCAATCTTGCTCTCGTTGACATGCTGCGTGACCAGCTCCGGAGTCCATTCGGTGTATTTAAGGTGCAGTTTTTCGTTGTGGCTTTCGTGGGCCGTCGTTCCGATTACGTACTTCAGGTTGCCAGTTGCCGAATTCCAGACGTCAGCGGGGTGCTGTTGGAGAATGTGTCCGTCCAAAACGAGCCATTCGTGGTTGGCGGTAGTGTTCTCCTCAACGGATGGAAGATCGGGGAAGGTTCGCCTCCAGGTATCCGGAACGGCATCCAAAACATCCTCGTCTTCTTTGTCGCGCAGACATTCGGCGTCTTCGCACTTGATGCGGCTCTGGTATGCTGTGTTGGCTCTCTCCGACTCGGGGAGTGGGTTTCCGGGGAAAATTGATGCAGCGGATGAGATCCATGATCTTGCAAACAATTTAGAGGTCTTGTTGGACGAAGCCAGTGCAGCAACGATCGTTCCACCTGCGCGATGTCCGAAAAGCGTCACCGAATCCTTGTTACCACCGAAATGAGCAATGTTCAACTGGATCCATTTGAGAGCTGCGATAATGTCGGACAGTCCGTAGTTGCCCGAGGTTGGAGGATGAGCCGACTTGGTAAGTTCTTCCAGTGCAAGAAAACCGAAAACGTTCAATCGAAAGTTGGGACGCACGAAAATCACATCACGAGCACGGGCGTAGCGAGTTGACGGACGCAGCTTGCCGGGCGAGTCTCCGGTGAAGGATTCAGCTCCGATCAGGACCACTACCGGCAGTGGATTGTCGTACCGCACATGGGGAGTGATCACGTCCAGAGTGAGACAATCTTCGGCACCATCGACCTTGCCGTCGGCGTAAAACTGCCAGCAAACTGGCGTGGAGTTGTGCGCTCTAAAGGTTTCATTCCAGCAGTAGTTGATGTTTTCAATGGGTTGTGCAGCCTTCCAACGTAGTGGTCCTACCGGTGGTACGGCATACGGGATTCCACGGAACGCAAATGCACCATCTTCCAAGACACCTTCCACCTTGCCGCAGGATGTAACCGTTTCGATGTACTTTCCGTCACGGACTGGAGCCGTAACCGGTTCGCTCTTACCAATGAAGGTAAAGGCAATGATTAAGGCGAGCAGAAGCAGGAATACAAGGATTCCGGTAATGATGGCAATGTCGTCTGTAAAAAATTAAGAATATTATATTGACATATGTTGTAGGTATAGAACAGGCAATTATCAAGCTTACCAACTGTGCACCTGTAGTTCCTAATACGATCTAGGCATGGATACTTGGAAGGAGTTGGTTCCTCAGCCTCATCCTTCTCGGTGTCCTTCTTCTCTTCGGATTTCACCAGAGCCTCCGAATCGGTTCCGTTGACGCCTGTTTTATTGTCTACCGTATCCTTTGTTTCCGTATCCTTCAACGAATCGTCCAGCGTTTCCATCGACGCCAAACCGGCACGATTCTTTGGCCTTTTGCCTAATTCTAGATCATCCTCACCCTCGCCCGTTCCAGATTTAAACCTTTTGGGGATTATACTAGCCAGTGGCACCTTTAGCGCATCCAAGAGACCCTTCTTTGGCGCTTGACCTGCCTCTTCTTCTTTCTTTTCGGTAGCGTTTTCCTCCTCCGGTTTCTTATCGGTGGCTTCCGCCGTCACTTCATCGTTCTCTTCCTCTTCGGGCTTAGTCTTGGTGTCTTCGGTTGGTACCGGTTCAGCTTGCTTTTTGGCGAACGGATTCCGCAGGCGTAGATTGGCGAAGAATCCCGCCCGTTTGGGTTTCTCTTCGGCTGCGGCTTCCACAGCCTTAGCTTCCTTCTCTGTCTCTTGCTTCTCCAAGAGTTCGTTATCGGCTCCGTCGGTTTCCTTGACTTTGCCTTTGTTGAAAAATCCTGGCAGCTTGAAGGCACCGGCTGGCACTTTCTTCGGTTTGACTTCCCGCTCCTCTGCCTGTACTTTGTTCGGTTTGTCTGTCTTGGCTGCCTTCTCGTCTCCCACCTTGACCGTTTCGGTCGAAGTCTCGTCTGGGATGTTGATGATCTCTTCGGTACCGTTCACGTTCTCGCTGCTCTTCTTCTTTTCTTCGGCAGGTTTTTCGGTTTCCTTCTCGTCAGTCTTTTCTTCGCGGTTGGCTAGTAGTTTCTCGGTTTCCTTCGGATCAGCCTCTGGCTCCGGATGGGTTTCGGTGGCAGCAGGTGCTTCGGTTGTGGTCTTTTCCGTGGGTGCAGCCGGTGGCGCTGTATCCTTGTCGTCTGTTTCGCCCATGGCTGCTTTCTAACGGTTTTCTGCGGGTGAAATCTGCGAAAGAAGAAGAGATTGAAATGGAAATCGTTATTGGATTTGACCGTGATTGGGGCTGGAAAGCTTTCGATATCAATTTAATTTAGCGGATTAAGGGAATCGGGAAACGTTCCATCGGCGATAGGAGTGCATATCTGGCATAACCATGTTGGGGTATAACTGTCGGTTGGCAGGTAGCAGCTATAAGGCTGCGAGGGCAAAAAGCAAGTCAGATAACAGTAATTCCAGATTACATTGCATGGTGTGCACGTAAATTGATGGCTTTTTATATCGTGCTCCCATTTCTAGGCGCTTGTAAGTCGTAGGTACGTTGTAGCGGTTCAAAGAGTGCATCGTGCACACCGATAGTGGAACTCGGATGCAATTCTTGTCTGCTTTTTCTGCTTCTCTTTTCCTAGCGGTAGGGTAACCAGGGAAGTATTTTTTAAATGTAGTTAATCGACTTGGTAGATCTCGTTAAATTTTAAAGATTTGGGCTATTAAAGTGATTATTGTCGATCAACCTGTCAAGACTTTCAGCCTTGGTAACCCCAATCCAGCGCAGCATCTCGCTTGACGATGGGTGAAGTCCAATTTAGATTTATCTTAAGCTCACTTTTCACGCGTCTGGATTGGCTGGACTTCTGAATTGACTGGCCTTTACCGGTTCCCGGGGCGCAATTGGCACACGGCTGCCGGAGTACAAAATCCCTTCATTGATTCAAACTATCTAATAAGCACTCATAATCTGGAGAGTTTCCACGCGAGTAGGTATTAAGGTACGAGCCTTGGATCTCACTTTTTGTTGGCTCGCGTTTGTCGTGAGCTGTTTATGGGCACCATTAATCCAATCTCAGTGCTACTCGTGGGGCTTGCACCTACTGACTATATGCTGGGATCAGTCATCTGTTGTGTGTCGTACCTCTGGCAAGCGAGGTGCTGCAACATCAGAAAAGACACAGTTGCTAATAGTAGTGCATCGACTTCGATGGCACGAGCAACATGCTGCTTATTCATACACCATTCGCTTTCTGAGTACAGGAAAATGCATTGGTTTGGATGATTCTGCGCTTTAGAGTGATGAATTTTTATGAGCTCATTATACAAATATCACTGTCACGATGCGATCTGTAGTAAGATTTCTGTGGAAGTTGGATGTCTACATCCCCGAAACCGACTAAGGTAATATGTATATATTTTAATGATATGAACGCAAGCAAATATGTCAAATTGAATAATTTATTAAATATTAATTCATTAAGGGCGTTGGCACAGCTAATGGGGGTGTATGATCTTATAGGACTTTGAATCCAACTAAATAAAAAAATCTCCTCTCTGCGACTTTAGAACATTTTTCAGATCGTGAATACAGATGTCGAAGGGTAAAATGACCAACATGGGATCAAACGCCTCAAACAAGCTTTAAATTGTATGATTGCCTGAACCTCAAAGGCAGAATGGCATAGAAACGTTTGATTACTTGGAGTGGCTCAATTCCAAGTAATTTTGTCAATCCATCTTTGATCTGATCCAGGGATTCACCACTGGGTAGACCTTTCAAGACCACTTAGAAAAGACGTTCAGTTTTGGTGTCGAATGTGAAAAATATGTTTTGCTTTTCAGTCAGATACTGGACAATACAATTAAATTCGTCCAAGGTTTCAGCCAGTACACGGCATTCACCCCGACGGTCAATTTGAGATGAAAACTTGTATTTTACGAGGTTCAAAAGTTTCGTGTGAAGAGCATGGAAATTGGAAGTGGTTATCACAATAGGGAGGACCTTTTCCTTTTTGGTATTAAACCGGGAATGTTTACTGGAATTTTGCATCGAGGATGGATCATGCTCATCACCCGTGAGCATATCAAATTGATTTCTCAAATGAATTTCATTAGAAGGAGAATCAACAGATTGCCCATTTTGTTTGTTTGTTTGCCAAGCAGACTACTATAAGAATCCGAAGGATTGAAGAGGAATTTTCCAAATCGATGTTCTCGCAGGATCACGTCGGGTCCCAACTAGGACCGAAGAGGAATAAGAGTCAAATAAGGTAGAAAAATGGCAGGTAATATTTAGCACTGAGAAGTGCTGTTTAAATTTGTTGTAGCTTTAGGTAGCAGTAATATTTTCTCCAGCAAAAAGCAAAAAGGATCCGCACGGCGAGGCAGCACGATGCGGATTAAACGACACGCCATTGGTGTGTTTGGACGAATGGTAATTTTTGTTTGTTTATTAATTTATTTGATAAGGCTCAATCGAATAAACTTCACAAAGCCGAGGATTCTTGTTCTTTATACAAAACATCGTAAAACTATATCTAAAAGGTACAACACTACAAACACTTTATCTTCCGCTATTCAATAAGCCTCCGCCATCAGAATAAGATCCACTTCCAGCTGTTTCAATGTATGGCAGTATTGCCAACGGGCGGCAAAACGCTTCCATTGCGGCAATGGACGCAAATCGTGGTCAGCACTCACACACTCATCACTGAACGGTTGCTTTCCAAAGTCGACGACGCATCGACCGAAAGAACTGCTGATGAGCAAAAATAAGAAGGAAAACACAATAGTTGCTGCCGAGTAAACAGACGATCATGTGCCACAGACGAGTGGCCTGCTTCTGTCTGAACGGAAGATGAATCGTAAATGACGAAACTATCAAAAGCAGGTGACTACGGTGTGCTGGCCAAGTCGTAAAAATGTCGGACGACAGCCCGTTGAGAATGATTCTCGATAACGACCCGACTAGAACAAGACCAGACGCAACTTGCATCCATGGTTCAACTTAAATGGAGGCGACTTCTATGTATGTACAGCAAAGGATACTCAGGATTTACTCTGAATGGTAATGTAAGTAAGGCGTCATTTCATGATTTGCCAACGGTAAACCCTCAAAACGACGCTGTCCGCGATAGTTCGACCACGGGTTAGACTAATATATTGAATGAATCTGCAGTACCATCTCGAGTTTTAAATAAATGCATTGGACAAAATAAATCATACGCTGATACCATACATGTATTTTGGATGATATTTTCGTAATTTTTTCAATAATTGCAATAGTATATTCGGGAACTATATTCAACTGTATCCAGTTATTAAGAAAAAAATGTAGAAAATTGTGTGATATTTCTGCTAGTAAATAAAATCTACATCAGTTCATTTTCAAGCTTGGACAACATAAATCATACACATCAAATATCACATTTTATGGCCATGCCAATGAGACCACCTCTGGAAATCTGGCATTACTGCATCACCTTTGACAGTTCTTACTTCGAGGAGCTTGCGCATCTTACCATTGTTTTTTTGTTTGCGTAATTTGAAAAGTCGAAAATGTTGGGAAAACGGATTTCACATTTCATGATCATGAAAAGGGAATACCTTTCCGGAAAATTGTCGAAAAGTACTCGATTTCGATTGGAGCTGTACAGCACCTATGAAAAAAATAATAGGAAACGCGAGGAATAAAATGAAATTTATCCGAACAGGAACGTCATCGTGTGACGAGCCATCGTGATGACGTCAGGATTATTCATGGCTAAGCAAAATCCGAAGTCTTCATCCAGGGATATTGTGGAATCGATGGATCTCAATGTTAGTCAACGTACTGTTCGCCGGTGGCTTAATGGCAGTGGTTTAAAGAGCTGTTTGGCATCGAAGCGTCCTTTCATCAGCAAGCGGAACCAACGGAAGCGGCTAGAATTTGTCAAAAAGTATGGCGAGATGTCTGTAGACTTCTGGAAAAGAGTTATGTGGACCGATGAGAGCAAATTTGAGATGTTTTTTTTTTTTTTTTTTTTAATTATAGTCACTATAACGCTCGTGGGTCATTCGTGACTTGTCCGGGGGTGAGATTAGAACTCGTGACTTTGGCGTGAGAGGTATGGATGCTAACCACTACGCCGGGGTCGTCCCGATGAGATGTTTGGACAGAAACGGCGATCAACACGGTAACCGCAAAATACCCAATAATGACTATAAAAGAGTTGATATTGTCTACAAAGTAAGCATTTTTAAGGGAGACTGGGACTACTCATTAAATAAGTAAAAAGATTACCCATTTATGAGTATTTGTTACTCATAAATGAATACTTACTACTTATTTTTGTAGTTCAGGTAACTCTAAGACTAGAAGGTCCCGAAGAAACGTGCTCAACCTTTTGGCTCAGCTCTGGTACTCTCTTCGGTCCCAAGCTAATCGATGCACCCCTCGAAACAGAGGAAAATCCACGAACCACTCATTTTATCTGTCAAACTTTTATAGCGAATCAAAACAAACATAGTGTAGTACTAGAATTTCGACTATAATGGGGTACGTTAATCAATTTGCTTGGGACCAATAGGCTAGTCAAGTAGTGAGCCAATTTAAAATCGTTAGTTTCCACCGGTTGGCACAACGGAATCATTTTTGCGTCGATTCAACTCTCAGCAGCGTTGGCAGGTCGTTTTCAGAAAAATCTGGACCAGCTAAAATATAAAATCCGGAAAAATGTGGAATGCTCCAAAAAATCCTGTTTTTACAATAATGCTATTGAAATCAAAGTGATGTACCAATCTCCCGTAAAAATCGGTCAGTATGATCATCTGGAATTTATTCAAAGTACTAGAATGATTATGAATTACATGTTTAATTGAATTATATAAAGCAAATAACTTGTTAGTATTGCTAAATCATCCAAAAGTGGAAAAGTATTGACACAGTGTGCCCAAAAAGTTTAAATATCCATTACGCAGCAGTTCAAAAATTGAATTAAATGTGGGTACAATACTGCAGAAAATATTTTTCGAATTGTTTTTTAAGCTGTAACTTTTTTGTTTAAAGAATGAGAAGCAAAGGATTAGGAAAATTTGATGGGATGGATTTTTTAACTAATAGTCGATGTAGTCCTAACTATTTGATGCAGTACCAGAATATAAAGATTTTATTAGTTCAAAATAATTCTAATATTACCCTGAGGTTTATCTGATGTACAATCAACACAAAACACCCAATAGACCAGTAGGCAATTTTA